GATAAGAGTAACAGTTCCAACAGGGAGAGACATGGGCAAAATGTTCAGGTTCAATGTGGCGTCGATGTATGTGGTAATATGAGATAGCTAGTCTATTAGCGAGTGCTTGGGTAGCCATATCTATGTTTGAAAAGGTGATTTTGATCATAGATGAGGCATTGGGAATTCGTGTGATGGTGTCTACAGAGGCCCAGGTGTTTTGGTCTTCGATAGAGGTCTTCAGTTCATCCGTATGGATGGATGTGATTATCTTATCCAATTGTTTAACAAAAACTGAACGTTTCGCCAGCAAGGAGGGAGACGGTGATATGATGAATTGTCGGTCCCGTAATGTGTTCATTTCAGTGTCGTCCATAAGTTTAGCTGCTTCATTGTCGTCGGTGCAGACGACAATAAAGGAATCCTTGAGTGAGTTTATCGCTGTGAATTTGAGATGTAGGCAGGTCCTCATAGCGGCAGCAAGTAATAGTTTAGTGGAATCATTTATAACACCACTGGCTGGTTTGATTTTAACACGATGTGCGAACATTGTCGAACAGGTAGAGGTTACCCTCCCCAACGGGAATCGTAGGGAGACTGATCAAAAAAAGCAACTTACTGGAGTGAGAGATATGGGAGGAAGTGCAAAATAAACCTAGTGAGAAGGAAAGGTGCAGTGAGCACAAGAGAACATTGTATCAACATCAGTGGCCCTAGACTGTATTTAATATCGTACCAGAAGATATCAAACACTGCTTGGACAATTGTAGCTGTCTCCAAGAGGAAACTGGACAAGTAACTTCACCAGGTGCCATATCAACCAGGCTGTTATGGATACATAGGCCAGTGGGTCACTAGCAGCAACAGCATGGTTGACCAGACAAGCACCAGATGAGCCTGGTCCAAGGCAAGGCTCTGGAAGTAAAAAAGCTCTTGAAGATCATCAAAAGTATATCAAAGGATGAAGCCGTTGAACTTGCAATTAAGCAGAGGTGGGCCCTCTTATTAATATGGCACGTAGAATTTACCTCTGACGTCATCACCACTCTAAAGCCCTTACTTTATCTTCCATCCTTGCTGATGGTCCTACCTTTAACTCAGACTCTCTCGTTGACTTTTTGACAGCAGCTGATTTATTATACAAACTTTGATGATACTTTAGCACTCCTCACAGCCCTTTCCAACTCTCCCTCTGTTGTCCTCTCCACCCTTGCTACTTTATGATCCTGCACTATCCCTTGCCCCGCTGCACTGTATGACCCTTGTAGGTTTAGCACTTCTTTCTTATTATAATACATGTAATATTAATGATACGACTTGACCAGACAGCTGTATGATGAAGCGAATTTGGTTTGCTGCATGGCTGTTTTAATTGGACACTCCATTAAATGTAGATGTTGAGCCTTTGTCTGACCAGATTTTCTGTTTTAGTTGATATCAGCTTAATAGAAGTCCATTTTATTGAGGTTTACTGTATCTTGTACAACCTCTCATTATACTTTCAAAGAAAGTACATCTTGATGTTGGTGAGAGGGGTCTTGTTCCAAAGAATTGGAGTTACCCTCCCTTTTGCATCAGATCTTAATGCCTCTCATTTCCCCTATTGCTGTATGACCCCTGTGGGTTTAGCACTTACCTCTTGAATGTAGTAATAATTAAACCATTGATGTTATGGACCTCAATTTAACAATTTAGGAAATATGGGACACTCCACTGGATAAGTTGCTTTGGAAAGAATGGACAAAGTCTATTGTTTATTGAATTCTTCATTATTGATATGATTGTGGTAAAACAGTCTCATCACTCCATTACTATTGCTGTTACTGGCCATCATGTACCCCTCCTCTCCTGTCCCCTCCCATTTATTTATTTATTTATTTATTTATTTCCAATTTGAGCACACATACAGAGGTACAAAAAAATACAGGTAAGAGCAGCATGCCAAAGCCACTTATACTATGCATAGCATTACGGGCTGGCTTAAAATTAACTTAAGATTAACTAAGCAATGATGAAATCAGTGATAAAACATTAATGTAAACAGATTACTATAAAGCACAAGAGAGTATTACAAAGACAGGTCATATGGTTGCATTCAGTTAGGTAGTGATTCTGTTAGGTAGTGTATTTAAAAAATAATAAAGTTAGATTGGGTTTTAGGTTTAACATTTATGTGATATAATTGTGAGAAACATTTAAGATATACAATTTATAAGGTTCAGTTATTCAGTATTTATTTGGTTTTGGGTGAGTAAGTGATCTTTGAGAAGAGACTTGAATTTATAAACAGGTAGTGTTTCTTTTATATTTACAGGTAATGAATTCCAGATTTTAGGGCCTTTTATGTGCATTGAGTTTTTGCATAGTGTGAGATGGACACGAGGAACATCAAAGAGTGATCTGTGCCTTGTGTTATGGTCATGTGTTCTGTTGAGGTTGGCAAGGAGATGTTTGAGGGGAGGGTTAACCCTTTGACTGTCGCAACCCCAAATCCTGAGGTGTCTCCTGGTGTCGCAAAATTAAAAAAAAAAAAAAATTATTTTTTCTTATGAAATGATAGAGAATCTTTTCCCGATTGTAAAGACACCAAAAAAACGAAATTTGATGGAAAACTGACGGAATTACGCTCTCGCGAAGTTAGCGACTTCGGCGATATTTAAAAATCGGCAATTTCGCCCACTTTGAGCCCTATTTTCGGCTAATTCCGTTATTCCAGTCAACCAAACTCATAACTATTTCTTCAGAACTCTATTTTTTCTATCGATTGAGTACAAGAAACTGCCCATTTACCGATTTCAACTACCCAATAACATGGTCAGAAATTTGCAATTTGGCCAATTTCCCGAAAATTAAAACATACGACAATTTCAAAATAAGGTCCAGAATGAACAATGCAGACATTCCTGGCTCTAAAATAACATTTTCTTTGTTCATCAGTCATGTCTCCAGGTCCCTGTGATATTACTCTTGCTTTTTATTTTGAAATTTTATTCAAACAAAAAATAGAAGATTTACTGTTATGCAGACTACTGCAATACTGTAATAATTGTAAAAATTACATCAACCCATTCATGACTGCATATTAGAATGGCTATTTGGACATTTATTGGACAATGACATCATTTGTTTACTTTTGAACATCGGCAAAAATCAAACATTTCCTGTACTTTGTGCTCCATTTCCAGGTTCTTTTTATAGTAAAATTAATCAAAATCACTTCCATTTCTATAATATAGTTTCCATTCTATCAAATGAGACCAAGAAAACGAGAATACAACCACAAATACTATACGAAAATAGACCACAAAGTCGGCATTTTAATTAAAAAAAACGGTCGGAGTTTTTTTTTTCTCATTATGCACTGTGTGCTCCAGGATTTTTTTTATGTGGTGCACACTGACCACACAGACCCATTCTCTCACATGTGGGCCTACTAGCTTTCTCCTGCCTGATTTGAAGCCGCTAGAATTTATGAGTATGTATACGTCAAACACGGTACCTCGCAAACGTATATATATGGCCGCGACAGTCAAAGGGTTAATATCAGAGTTAAGTGTTCTATGTATGTAATAGGTGCAGTAATAAGTATGGATGTTTTGTATGGTGAGTAGGTTTAGTGTATTGAATATTGGTGGAGTGTGCTGCCTGTAGTGAGAATTTGTTATCATTCTAACTGCAGCCTTTTGTTGGGTAATTAGTGGTCTGAGATGGTTAATTGTTGTTGAGCCCCATGCACAAATTCCATAGGTGAGATAGGGGTAAATAAGAGAGTGATATAGGGCCAGGAGGGCTGACTGTGGAACATAGTACCGTATCTTCGATAGTATGCCTACAGTCTTGGAAATTTTCTTAGAAATTTGATGTATATGTGTATGAAATTTGAGTCTATTATCAAGGTTGATTCCTAAGAATTTTCCCTCTGTTAGTTTTGTAATAGGTGATCCGTTTATCATTATGTTAAGAGGGACATCTGTAGCTCTGTTACCAAACTGAATGAAGTAGGTTTTGTCAATGTTTAGTGTAAGTTTGTTAGTCCTCATCCAGGTAGATATTTTCTGTAATTCGGTATTTATAGTATTGGCTAGCGTGACTGGGCTCGGGTGAGAGAAGACGTATGTAGTGTCATCTGCAAATAGTGTGGGTTTGAGTAATTGCGAAGCATTTGGAAGGTCATTTATGTATAGGAGAAAGAGAAGAGGGCCAAGGACACTTCCCTGTGAGACACCAACTGTAATTGGTTGCGCAGAAGAGTTTGCCCCATTTGCGTACACATATTGGCTTCTGTTGCTGAGGTATGACTTGAGGTAGTTGAGGGAGTGCCCTCTTATACCATAGTGTGACAATTTTACGTGGAGCAAGTCATGGTCAACTGTATCAAAAGCTTTACGTAAGTCAATGAAGATCCCCAGTGGGACTTCTTTTTTCTCTATTGCAGTGTATATATGTTCTAGCATGTGTATAATAGCATCATTAGTATTTTTATTAGGCCTGAATCCAAATTGGCAGGGGTTGAGTATGTTTTGGGAGATAAGGTAGGAGTAGATTCGTTTATGAATTAATTTTTCGAAGATTTTTGAGAGAGGGTGTAAGTTGGATATTGGCCTATAGTTATTCAACTCTGTTTGGTCTCCTCCTTTGTGGATCGGGGTGACCCTTGCTATTTTGAGTACTGTAGGGAAGGTGGAGGATTCAATGGATTTGTTAAAGAGTGTTGCAATGATTGGTGATAGCACTTGTGACACTTTTTTGTATATAAAGGGTGGTAAGGTATTTAAATCTCCTGCCTTGTTTTTTAGTGCGTTGATAATAAGGGAGACTTCGTATGGGTTAGTCGGAGCTAGGAACAGTGTGTTCGGGTAGTTGCTGGTGAGGTAGTCATTTGGTGGGGTATCTGAGCTTGGGATTTTATTGGCAAGGTTTTGTCCCATTAATTCATTATATTGAGTTTATATGAATGAGGGAGGGATGTTACATAATTTATCTTCACATGTTCCGAATTAATGGACTGATATTTAATACAGACATTGCTGAGGTGCTGCAGCGTGAGCATGATACCTTAAAAGAAGTTGCTGCCAAAGTTTATGCCAAACATTCACAGCTCGTAGAGCAGAGCCAGCGTCTCAACACTAAAGCCGTGCCCAACAATGAAGCTTTCTTCCGACCACAATCAAAAGAGGATCACAAAACTCCTGCTTCAGCAGTGGTGCGGCCAGTACTTGGAGGTAATGTATTGAATAACAATTTGTTAATCTTTATTAAGTGAAAATTATTTTTGATCAGATGCAAAGGTATATACTGTAGTTGGCTTCAGTTTATATGAATTTATATGTTGATTTCATATGTAGTAGCTTGGTTGACACACAGGTACAGTAATAGGTCGGTAGGCATCAACCACCTAGTGAGGAGCAACTCTCCTGTTATGAATCATATTATAAAGGGTATATAATATCATAGAAAAGAGTAAGGTGATGAGGGTATGAAATGATTTAGATAAAGAAAAATTGGATATCAAATTGGGGAGGAGGAGTATGGAAGAAGTGAATGTTTTCAGATACTTGGGAGTTGACGTGTCGGTGGATGGATTTATGAAGGCTGAGGTTAATCATAGAATTGATGAGGGAAAAAAGGGGAGTGGTGTGTTGAGGTATATGTGGAGACAAAAAACGTTATCTGTGGAGGCAAAGAAGGGAATGTATGAAAGCATAGTAGTACCAACACTCTTATATGGGTGTGAAGCTTGGGTTGTGAATGCAGCAGCAAGGAGGCGGTTGGAGGCAGTGGAGATGTCCTGTCTAAGGGCAATGTGTGGTGTAAATGTTACGCAGAAAATTCGGAGTGTGGAAATTAGGAGAAGGTGTGGAGTTAATGAAAGTATTAGTCAGTGGGCTGAAGAGGGGTTGTTGAGATGGTTTGGTCATTTAGAGAGAATGGATCAAAGTAGAATGACATGGAGAGCGTATAAATCTGTAGGGAAAGGAAAGCGGGGTAGGGGTCGCCCACGAAAAGGTTGGAAGGAAGGGGTAAGGGAGGTTTTGTGGGCGAGGGGCTTGGACTTCCAGCAGGCGTGCATGAGTGTGTTCGATAGGAGTGAATGGAGATTAATGGTATTTGGGACCTGACAATCTGTTGGAGTGTGAGCAGGGTAATATTTAGTGAAGGGATTCAGGGAAACCGGTTATTTTTATATAGCCGGACTTGAGTCCTGGAAATGGGAAGTACAATGCCTGCACTCTAAAGGAGGGGTTCGGAATATTAGCAGTTTGGAGGGATATGTTGTGTATCTTTATACATATATGCTTCTAAACTGTTGTGTTCTGAGCACCTCTGCAAAAACAGTGATTATGTGTGAGTGAGGTGAAAGTGTTGAATGATGAAAGTATTTTCTTTTGGGGGATTTTCTTTCTTTTTAGGTCACCCTGCCTCGGTGGGAAACAGCCGACTCGTTAAAAATATATATATATATATATATATATATATATATATATATATCAATCTAGGTAGTAGGTTGGTAGACAGCAACCACCCAGGGAAGTACTTCCGTCCTTCCAAGTTAGTGTGAAACAAGAACCTGTAATTGTTTTACATGATGGTAGGATTGCTGGTGTCCATTTTTCTGTCTTGTGAACATGCAAGGTTTCAGGTACATCTTGCTACTTCTACTTACACTTAGGTCTCACTACACATACATGTACAAGCATATATATACATACCCCTCTGGGTTTTCTTTTATTTTCTTTCTAGCTCTTGTTCTTGTTTATTTCCTCTTATATCCATGGGGAAGTCGAACAGAATTCCTCCTCCTTAAGCCATGCGTGTCGTAAGAGGCGACTAAAATGCTGGGAGCAAGGGGCTAGTAACCCCTTCTCCCGTATAAATTACTAAATTTAAAAAGAGAAACTTTCGTTTTTCTTTTTGGGCCACCCTGCCTTGGTGGGATACAGCCGGTTTGTTGAAAAAAAAATATATATATAATATCAAGGTGATTGTTGGCAGTTTTGGTCTTTTATTGCTGTCTCACAATCACAAGATGATGACAAGTAAATCTTATTCACTTCCATTTGCATTCAGTATACACTTAGTGGTCACTTTATTAGGTACACCTGTACACCTGCTCGTTTATGCAAATATCTAATCGGCCAATGATGTGGCCGATTAGATAGCATGCAGACATGGTCAAGAGGTTCAGTTATTCAGATTGAACATCAGAATGAGAAAGAAGTGTGATATAAGTGACTTTGATCCTGGAATGATTATTTATGCCAGATGGGGGTGGTTTGAGTGTCTTGGGAACTGCTGATCCAAGTGGTTTGAGTGTCTCGGGAACTGCTGATCCAAGTGGTTTGAGTGTCTCGGGAACTGCTGATCCAAGTGATTTGAGTGTCTCGGGAACTGCTGATCCAAGTTGTTTGAGTGTCTCGGGAACTGCTGATCCAAGTGGTTTGAGTGTCTCGGGAACTGCTGATCCAAGTGGTTTGAGTGTCTCGGGAACTGCTGATCCAAGTGGTTTGAGTGTCTCGGGAACTGCTGATCCAAGTGGTTTGAGTGTCTCGGGAATTGCTGATCCAAGTGGTTTGAGTGTCTCGGGAACTGCTGATCCAAGTGGTTTGAGTGTCTCGGGAACTGCTGATCCAAGTGGTTTGAGTGTCTCGGGAACTGCTGATCCAAGTGATTTGAGTGTCTCGGGAACTGCTGATCCAAGTTGTTTGAGTGTCTCGGGAACTGCTGATCCAAGTGGTTTGAGTGTCTCGGGAACTGCTGATCCAAGTGGTTTGAGTGTCTCGGGAACTGCTGATCCAAGTGGTTTGAGTGTCTCGGGAACTGCTGATCCAAGTGGTTTGAGTGTCTCGGGAACTGCTGATCCAAGTGGTTTGAGTGTCTCGGGAACTGCTGATCCAAGTGGTTTGAGTGTCTCGGGAACTGCTGATCCAAGTGGTTTGAGTGTCTCGGGAACTGCTGATCCAAGTGGTTTGAGTGTCTCGGGAACTGCTGATCCAAGTGGTTTGAGTGTCTCGGAAACTGCTGATCCAAGTGGTTTGGGTGTCTTGGAAACTGCAGATCCAAGTGGTTTGAGTGTCTCGGAAACTGCTGATCCAAGTGGTTTGAGTGTCTCGGGAACTGCTGATCCAAGTGGTTTGAGTGTCTCAGGAACTGCTGATCCAAGTGGTTTGAGTGTCTCGGAAACTGCTGATCCAAGTGCTTTGAGTGTCTCGGAAACTGCAGATCCAAGTGGTTTGAGTGTCTCGGAAACTGCTGATCCAAGTGGTTTGAGTGTCTCGGGAACTGCTGATCCAAGTGGTTTGAGTGTCTCGGGAACTGCTGATCCAAATGGTTTGAGTGTCTCGGGAACTGCTGATCCAAGTGGCTTGAGTGTCTCAGAAACTGCTGATCCAAGTGGTTTGAGTGTCTCGGAAACTGCTGATCCAAGTGGTTTGAGTGTCTCGGAAACTGCTGATCCAAGTGGTTTGAGTGTCTCGGGAACTGCTGATCCAAGTGGTTTGAGTGTCTCGGGAACTGCTGATCCAAGTGGTTTGAGTGTCTCGGAAACTGCTGATCCAAGTGGTTTGAGTGACTTGGAAACTGCAGATCCAAGTGGTTTGAGTGTCTCGGAAACTGCTGATCCAAGTGGTTTGAGTGTCTCGGGAACTGCTGATCCAAGTGGTTTGAGTGTCTCGGGAACTGCTGATCCAAGTGGTTTGAGTGTCTCGGAAACTGCTGATCCAAGTGGTTTGAGTGTCTCGGAAACTGCAGATCCAAGTGGTTTGAGTGTCTCGGAAACTGCTGATCCAAGTGGTTTGAGTGTCTCGGGAACTGCTGATCCAAGTGGTTTGAGTGTCTCAGGAACTGCTGATCCAAGTGGTTTGAGTGTCTCGGGAACTGCTGATCCAAGTGGTTTGAGTGTCTCGGAAACTGCTGATCCAAGTGGTTTGAGTGTCTCGGAAACTGCTGATCCAAGTGGTTTGAGTGTCTCGGAAACTGCTGATCCAAGTGGTTTGAGTGTCTCGGGAACTGCTGATCCAAGTGGTTTGTGTGTCTCGGGAACTGCTGATCCAAGTGGTTTGAGTGTCTCGGAAATTGCTGATTCAATGATTTTCACACACAACAGTCTCTAGAGTTTGCAGAGAATGGTGTGAAAACACAAAACATTCAATGAGCAGCAGTTCTGTGGATAAAAATGACTAGTTAATGAGAGATCAGAGGAGAATGGCCAGACAGGTTCAACCTGACTGGAAGGTGACAGTAACTCAAATAGCCACACATTGCAACGGTTGTATGCAGGAGAGCATCTCTGAATGCACAAGTAAGAATAGGAAACTGAGACTACAGTGGGCATAGGCTTTCCAAAACTAGACTGTTGGAGATTGGAGAAATATCACTTGGTCTGATGAATTGTGATTTCTGCTGTGACATGCAGATGGTAGGGTCAGAATTTGGTGTAAACCTTTGAAGTGTAATGGAACAGGAGATGCAGAGCATGAATGTGTAGTCAACAAATCTGCAAAAAACTGCATGTCATTGTGGACCAGAATCTCTAAGGAATGTTTCCAGCACCTTGTTGAATCCATGCTATGACTAAGTCACATTTTTCTGGGGGCAGAAGGGAAGCCCTACGCTGTACTAGAATGGTATACCTGATAAAGTGACTACTGAGTGTATGTATCTCTATTTTCATATGTTTGTTATTATATATTGGTTCTAACCAATTTAGGTCAGTAATGCCTCCTATCTTTCATTCTCGTCAACAGAGTTCCAGTTTCAGTTCAATCCTAGGACTGTCCCTGTGATCTAGAGCTCATTCTAACATCAGGAGTCATTCACTTATTATGTCTTGTAGTCCAGTGGTGGGGGGGGGGGGGGAGGATGATACTGATTGTAAAGAAGAATGTACAGTCAGGTATCAAACTTGGACCAGCCTGTAGTTTGTATTATGCCCATTTGTTCCTCCAAAGTGGAGGATAGTGACATACACCAAGACCTGTATACCACAGAATACTGCAGAGAATACTACTCTCAGACCTGTATACCACAGCATACTGCTCGCAGACCTGTATTTCATAGAATACTACTCACAGACCTGTATATTACAGAATACTGCTCACAAACCTTTGTACCACAGAATACTGCTCGCAGACCTCTGTAATACAGAATATTGCTCACAGACCTCTATATTACAGAATACTACTCACAGACCTCTATATTACAGAATATTGCTCACAGACCTCTATGTTACAGAATACTGTTGAGAATGGTACTCACAGACCTGTATATCACAGAATATTGCTGACAATACTATTCACAGTCCTGTGGGTGGTATTCTCAGCATGTCATAGAGGATTCCACTGTACGTACAAGAGCAATATTTATATGAGAAATGACTATTCCACAACATAAGTAGATTTTATCCCTTTAACTGTGATATACACATAATTTAAAATTGCTGTGGGTGTGTGTACTCATCTATTTGTACTCACCTAATTGTGGTTGCAGGGGTCAAGTCATAGCTCCTGACCCTGCCTCTTCACTGATTGCTACTAGGTCCACTCTCTCCCTCCTCCATGAGCTTTATTGTACATCTTCTTGAAACTATGTATGGCTCCTGCCTCCACTGCATCATTCTCCGCACTATTCCACTTCCTGACAACTCTGTGACTGAAGAAATACTTCCGAACATCCCTGTGACTTACCTGGGTCTTCAATTACCAGTTGTGACCCCTTGTTGCTGTGTCCCATCTCTGGAACATCCTGTCTCTGTCCACCTTGTCAATTCCTCTCAGTATTTTATATGTCATTATCATGTCCTCCAGTGTCACCAGGTTGATTCCCCTTAACCTCTTCTCATAGAACATGCCCTTTAAGTCTGGGACTAGTGTTGTTACAAACCTTCACGCTTCATCTAATTTCTTGACATACTTGACATACTTGAGTCCTGGAAATGGGAAGCACAATGCCTGCACTCTAAAGGAGGGATTTGGGATATTGGCAGTTTGGAGAGATATATTGTGTATTTTTATACGTATATACAGTGGACCCCCGCATACCGATTTTAATCCATGCAAGAGGGCTCATTGGTATGCGAAATAATCGGTATGCGAATGAATTTTCTCCATAAGAAATAATGGAAATCAAATTAATCCGTGCAAGACACCCAAAAGTATGAAAAAAAAATTTTTACCACGTGAAATATACATTTTCCTACACACAAAGAGAAGGATACATGCACAATAGTAGAGTAGTACATGCACAGTATATATTGTGCATGTACTAGTCTACTAAATGAAGAATAAATGACACTTACCTTTATTGAAGATGCAGCAATGACTGATGAGACACTGTGTCCTGGGAGTGCCTTTTCCTCCTGAGTACTGTAGGTCCTGTTTGGTATTTTCTTCCAGAACATGCCTTATCACACTGTGTATGTCACTACGATTCTTAAATCTCTCAAACCAACCTTTGCTGGCTTTAAATTCACCAATATGAGCACTAGTTCCAGGCATTTTTCCTGTTCACCTGGGTGTTAGTCGACTGGTGTGGGTTGCATCCTGGGAGACAAGATTAAGGACCTCAATGGAAATAAGTTAGACAGTCTTCGATGACACTGACTTTTTTGGGTTATCCTGGGTGGCAAATCCTCTGGGGTTAATTGTTTCTTGGTATATTCTCAATAAGCCACACCAACAACAGTGCTACAGCAGCAGCAGACGATGCTACAGCAGCAGCAGACGATGCTACAGCAGCAGCAGCAGCTGTACCACCAATAGTAGCGATGGTTGATTGGGGTTTATTATACAACCTGGCCAGCTCGGAGACACGCACTCCACTTTCATACTTATCAATGATCTTTCTCTTCATCTCTATAGTAATTCTCACCCTTATTGCTGTAGGGTTGGCACTAGAAGCTTTCTTGGGGGCCATGGTCACTTATTTTGCAGATAAAATCACCAAAAACACTGTAATAATACGAAATGTTATGATTGTATGCTTGGATGCTACCGCGGAGGCTGGCTGGTAAACAATGCCACCGGCGGAACATGTGAGGCTGGCTAAGGCGCACATTGGACGCGTCTCAGACGAACAGCGGTGAGCGGGTTTTTAAGCGGTATGCGAGGCAAAATTTTAGCGATAAAATGTATCGGTATGCGGATTAAACGTTATGTGATGCCAACGGTATGCGGGGGTCCACTGTACTTCTAAACTGTTGTATTCTGGGCACCTCTGCATAAACAGTGATTGTGTGAGAGTGAGGTGAAAGTGTTGAATGATGATGAAAGTATTTTCTTTTTGGGGATTTTCTTTCTCTTTGGATCACCCTGCTTTGGTGGGAGACAGCCAACTTGTTGAAAAAAAAAAAAATAAACTTGACCAGGTGTGGGTTCCAAACTGGTGCTGCATACTCCAATATGGGCCTGACATGCACTGTGTACCAAGTCCTGAACAATTCTTTACTGAGGCGTAGGAACGCTATTCTCAGGTTTGCTAGTCACCCATATATTGCATCAGTTATCTGGTTGATATGCACCTCAGGAGATGTGTCGCATTAGTCACCCAAAGCCCTTTTTTTTTCTAGACTGTACTCTGTCTGCGGTCTTCCTCAATCTTCATGACTTTGCATTTGGTGGGGTTAAACTCTAGGAGCCAGTTGCTGGACCAGGCTTGCAGCCTGTCCAGATCCCTTTGTAGTCCTGCCGTCCTCTTCCGATTTAATTTTTTTATTAGCTTCACATCATCGGGGGAAACAAGGAATTCGATTCTTCCCTTCTTGATGTATTTACATATCCCGAAACGCCTCGGCCCTAGGACTGCCCCCTTGGAACCCTGCTCGTCACGGCCCCCACTCTGACACCTCGTACATCCCCATTTTTTTGCTGTTGCCCCCCGTCAGGTATTTTTGTCCATTGCAGTGCCGTCCAGTTTGTGTGCCTGACCCTCTAGCTTTTGCACTAATCTTTTTGGGAACTGTGTCGAAAGCCTTCTTGCACCCCCAAAGAAAATGCAATCTCCCCAACCCCCCCCTTCTTGTCTACTTCGTTACCTTGATAAAGCTCCAGTGGTTTGGAACAGGATTTTCCTTCCCTGAACTTGTGTTGACTGATAAGCTTTTTCCCTTTCCAGGTTCTCCCCATTTCTTTGAAATCTTCTCCATGACTTTACATACTATGCATGTCAGTGACATTGGTCTGTCATTTAATGCCTCATGTCTATCTCCTTTCTTAAAAATTGGGACTACATTTGCCGTCTTCCACATCTTGGGTAGATGCCCAATTTCAGTGGATGCATTAAAGATTGTTGTTAGTGAATTACAGTGACTGCTGCTAGACTGGTTTGTGTTATAAATGGGCTCTCGATCTCTTGAACAGTCTGCAGATGGCATAGCAAATTGAAATCTGTTGAAGAGAACACAAAGGAAGTCCAAAACTAGCAGTGAATTTGATAGGCAGAGATTCTTGAGTGGTTTATCAAACTTTATATGAAAACATATTTTTTAAATCTTCAGCATGTAATTTTGTATATTAGTACTTATTCCTGCAATATTTCTTTTTTCATTTTAGGCATAATTGGAAATTAGGCTGCAGGAGTGAAGATCTCTGGAACCATTGAAAGATAACAATACTCTTGGTATTAATACAGCAGCTAGATTTTTTCTTTTGCACAGAGTTTAGGTGGTAAAGTATAATACCGTAGAGAAGGCATATCTTATGTTAGTAATTGCAGTTTATTTATCCATATTGATGCTGTTTTGTTAACTATAGGCAGTAGTAGTGGACTGCAGGCCTTCCAGGAACAACAGCAGAGAGCCAAGGCTGTTACACTTGGTGCTGCTCCACCAACAATGCCACTAGCACAGACCACAACGCCTCCCATGTTTGGGTGAGTAAACTTTGATTTTTTTTTTTTTTATCATTTATAATTGTCATACGGGGCTAGTAACCCCTTCTCCTGTATATATTACTTAATATAAAAGGAGAAACCTTCGTTTTTCCTTTTGGGCCACCCCGCCTCCATGGGATACGGCCGGTGTGTTGAAAGAAAGAAAGAATTGTCATATATGCCTTTTCTACCTTAAAAGATAAACCAATCTTGCTTAACATTTTACTGTGGAGTGACTTTTATAATAAAGGACATTTTTTGAGATTTACTCTCTCATTTTTATATTTAAGGTGGTCATGGTATCATTTTCCATTCATTTCAGCATACAAAAATAAGATTTTAGAGTATGAAAAGCCTAATTGTGTATCAGAGCCTCATGATCATCCAGGAACACTTGCATCTCTCACTGACACATCCACTCTTCCCCATTTACCTATCTGTGCCCCAGAGAACCGCCATTCTGGAGTGGGGTTCTATTGTCTCCAGAGCTATATCAGCAACACAGATGCAGGAATGGGGAGAGGGAATTAGGGAAAAGGAGAAAGGGATGGGAGAGAAAAGGATGGATTGGAAAGAGAGGGGTGAGAAAAGGATGGAGTGGAAAGGGAGGGGTGAGAAAAGGATAGAGTGCATAGGAAGGGAAGAAGGGGTGGGGAAGAAAGGAAAGGAGGGTGGGAGGGAAAGAGGAAGGGAGAGAGAGAGTGGGGGGAGGGAGGGAGAGAAAGGGGGGGAGGAGGTAGGAGACAGTATTTAGTTTGCTAACATACACCTGGACCTAGGTATCAACTTACTGGTTGACAGACGGTCATAATACAGGGGGTTTAGGATTTATTTCTTGCTTTTGTTTTAACTAAGTACATTGCTTTTTATATGCAATCATTTATTATGTATGCACATTCCTTTTGTGTGTGTGCAATTCTTACCACTCCTATGTTTTGGCCAGCAAGTTGGGTGTAGTACAGTATACACTGCACTCTGTACATTTTGTCCCGGCTTCTTAAGAAGACATCTATTTCATTTAAGTATAGTGTTTTGATTGCTAGAAAATTAAACTTAGTTCACTGTCTTACTGTCTCATACATGGGTATCCTATTTAAAAATGGGGCTCACTTAGCACACTGTTCTCTTAATGAAAGATTTCTCTGGTTTTTATTCTGGTTATTAAGTGAGTGTTGCATATATTTATTAATTTAACACCTGTACATTATACATTATTTTTTCTTTTGAAAGACATTAATTAATTTTTTTCTTTTCTTATTTGGATAACTAAAAATCAGCTTCATTTTTCATTTTCCTTATTGCCCTAGCTGTGTGTTCCAAATTAACTTTGTTAGTTTTCTATATGTCTTATCAGTCTTTGTTGAGCCACTGAGGATTACAGATATTTAGATTCCTCTGGTAACCACAAGAAACACTTTTGTTGGGGTACAAGAAGAATGTCATCAGTGAGTAAAAGAGAAGCAAAAGTTAATAAATTTGAGGAGGCAGTTAGGGTAAGATATAAGTAACTGTTGGGAGAAAGATGGGCTAGAGAGAGAGTATAGGTAATTAGGAGGAGGCAAACGAGATATGGGGCAGATTGAAGAATGCCATATTAGAGTGTGCAGCAGAAGTTTGTGAATATAGGAAGGTGGGTGTGGGAGGGAATAAATGTATGAAAGAGAAAGCACCTAGGGATAGGCAGAGAACCTGCATAGGTCTTTTCTATAAAAGAAAAGGGGGTTAGAGAGAGAGTAAGAATTATAGGGGAATAGCCTGTTGAGTATACAGGGAAGAGTGTATAAGAGAGTTATTATAGAAAAATTAAGTCCAAGATGGAGATCAGGATTACAGATGAACAATATCTCAGGAAGGGCAGGGGACATGTAGACCAAGTGTTTACATTGTAGTACATAAATGATCAATATTTAGATAAAGATAAGAAAGTTTAGGGTGGATAGGGCAACAATCAGGTGATGAGAATAATAAAAAAATTAGGTAATGAAAGATTGAATATTAGATTAGAAGGAGGGAGTATACAGGAAGTGAATGTATTCAGATATTTGGGAGTAGATTACAGTGGGCCCCCACCATACGATGGCATCACCTTACGTTAAATCCACCATACGATACATTTTAAAGCAAAAATTTTGCCTCGCCTCACGCTAAAAAACTCTCCTCACGTGATTTGTCCAAGACGCGTCCCACATGTGGCCTGAGCGCGCCTCAGCTGCCCCATGGGTGCCAGTGTTTACAAGCCAGCCAGTGCGGTCACATCCACGCATACAATCGGAACATTTCATATTATCACAGCGTTTTTAGTGATTGCACCTGCAAAATAAGTCACCATGGGCCCCAAGAAAGCTTCTAGTGCCAACCGTGCAGTAAAAAAGGTGAAAATTACTATGGAAATGAAGAAAGAGATAATTGCTAAGTGGAGTGCGTGTCTCGGAGCTGGCCAGGTTGTATACCAAACCCCAATCAACCATCGTTACTATCGTGGCCAAGAAAACGGCAATCAAGGAAGCTGTTCTTGCAAAAGGTGCAACTTTGTTTTCGAATAAGAGATCGCAAGTACTCGAAGATGTTGAGAGACTGTTATTGGTGTGGATAAACGAAAAACAGATAGCAGGAGATATCATCTCTCAAGCGATCATATGTGAAAAGGCTAGGAAGTTGCATGACGATTTAATTAGAAAAATGCTTGCAACTAGTGGTGATGTGAGTGAATTTAAGGCCAGCAAAGGTTGGTTTGAGAGATTTAAGAATTGTAGTACTCACCTATTTGTACTCGCCTATTTGTGGTTGCAGGGGTCGAGTCATAGCTCCTGGCCCCACCTCTTCGCTGATTGCTACTAGGTCCTCTCTCTCCCTGCCCCATGAGCTTTATCATACCTCGCCTTAAAACTATGTATGGTTCCCGCCTCCACTACGTCACTTTCTAGGCTATTCCACGGCCTGACTACTCTGTGACTGAAGAAATACTTCCTAACATCCCTTTGATTCATCTGAGTCTTCAACTTCCAATTGTGACCTCTTGTGTCTGTGTCCCTTCTCTGGAACATCCCGTCTTTGTAGTGGCATACATAGTGTGATAAGGCATGGTGAGGCTGCCAGTTTGGACCACAAATCGGCTGAAAAATATGTGCAGGACTTCAAGGAGTACATAGACAGTGAAGGACTGAAACCTGAACAAGTGTTTAATTGTGACGAAACAGGCCTGTTTTGGAAGAAAATGCCAAACAGGACCTACATTACTCAGGAGGAAAAGGCACTCCCAGGACATAAGCCTATGAAAGACTGGCTTACGCTCTTGATGTGTGCTAATGCTAGTGGTGATTGCAAAGTGAAGCCTTTATTGGTGTATCACTCTGAAACTCCCAGAGTGTTCAGGCAAAACAATGTCCTCAAGGCTAATTTGTGTGTGATGTGGAGGGCAAACACTAAGGCATGGGTCACTAGAGACCTTTTCTGTGACTGGTTGCACAATGCATTTGCCCCCACTGTGAAAAATTACCTCCTGGAAAATAAATTGGACCTTAAGTGCCTCCTGGTATTAGACAATGCTCCTGGTCATCCTTCAGACTTGGCAGAGCGACTTTCTGGGGACATGAGCTTCATTAAGGTCAAGTTTTTGCCTCCTAATACCACTCCTCTCTTGCAGCCTATGGACCAGCAGGTCATTTCAAACTTCAAAAAACTCTACACAAAAGCTATGTTTCAAAAGTGCTTTGTAGTGACCTCAGACACTCGATTGACTCTAAGAGAGTTTTGGAAAGATCACTTTAGCATCCTCATTTGTGTAAACCTTATAGGTAAGGCTTGGGACGGAGTGGCTAAGAGGACCTTGAACTCTGCTTGGAAGAAACTGTGGCCAGAATGTGTAGACAAAAGGGATTTTGAAGGATTTGAGGCTAACCCTGAGAAGCGTATGCCAGTTGTGGAATCAGTTGTGGCATTGGGGAAGTCCTTTGGGTTGGAGGTTAGTGGGGAGGATGTGGAAGAGTTGGTGGAGGAGGACAATGAAGAACTAACCACTGATGAGCTGCAAGATCATCTTCAACAGCAAGAGGCCAGACCTGAGGAAACTGCTTCGGAGGAGAGAGAAATTGAAGAAGTTGCCTACTTCAAAGATTAAGGAAATGTGTGCAGAGTGGCTTGAAGTGCAAACCTTTATGGATGAAAATCACCCTCACACAGCTATTGCAAGCCATGCTGGTGACTATTACACTGACAATGTTGTGAACCACTTTTAGACAAATCATGAAGGAACGGGAGGTACAGGGCTCTATGGACAGATATGTTGTGCGACAGAGGTCCAGTGATTCTCAAGCTGGTTCTAGTGGCATTAAAAGAAGAAGGGAAGCTTTTTTTTTTTTTTTTTTCAACAAGTTGGCCGTCTCCCACCGAGGCAGGGTGACCCAAAAAAGAAAGAAAATCCCCAAAAAGAAAATACTTTCATCATCATTCAACACTTTCACCACACTCACACATTATCACTGTTTTTGCAGAGGTGCTCAGAATACAACAGTTTAGAAGCATATACGTGTAAAGATACACAACATACCCCTCCAAACTGCCAATATCCCAAACCCCTCCTTTAAAGTGCAGGCATTGTACTTCCCATTTCCAAGACTCAAGTCCGACTATATGAAAATAACCGGAAAAGGACGTGCTACCTAAAGTCCTAATGAAAGGGGTTCCCCTTCTAAACATTAGCAACTTCCACACTCTCCCCTCCTCCCATCCCATCAATCATCACTAGATCTTCAATAAAGGTAAGTGTCAGTTTGTGTGTATTAAAATTAATATTTCATGTGGTAAAAAATATTTATTTTTTTATACTTTGGGGTGTCAAGAACGGCTTAATTTGATTTCCATTATTTCTTATGGGGAAAATTAATTCACCTCACAATAATTTCAGCATACAATGAGCTTTCAGGAACGGATTAATATCGTAAGGTGGGGGTCCACTGTATTTGTTGATGGATTGGTCCGTGAAAGACAAGGTGAACAATAGA